GGGGTACTCTACAGTGTCGTCCTGCGTTAAAAGTCTCACGTGTATTATGGCAGGCAAATTTTATGTAACGAGTTATTTCAATTAGTAATGATAAACTTCATGTTCTCCTAACGTACGTACCCCAGTGAAGAAACATACATGCACTAAACAGTCATTATTTATAACACACTCAAAAATAGTTTCATTTACAATACCAATGTCGGATGCTTATGATGTTCACCTATATACTAGTTATATTTAGATATAAATACTTTTTTATTTATATGTTCTTTAATTTATGTCCTGTAAAAGGCATGCAATTCTGGGTTTGCCGCAGCATATCTATCTACCCATAAATACCTTGGTGAATTTTTTCTAGACTCTCCCTGATATGATCTAGATCAGACTTCTTTCCTTCGCCATAGCGCTTTCCAAACCTTTCGTGGATTAAATTATGGATTTCCTGTACGCTTTCCTTTAACATATCTGCAGCCTTTTGTTCATCGCGGTCATTATTTGCCGATATGTCTCGTTCTAGGTCCACCGTCTCCGGGCTACCGAAATTCTTGATGAATGCCTCATACTCACGTTTTCTTTTTTTTGTTAAGGATTTCTCGAGGAAGAGGATAGTCTTTGCTCGCTGCATAACGGCGTTTGCCACTGCGTTTCCGTAGACTCGAGTGAATGTATCTGATAATAGAGCAATGAGGATGTTAAGATTGATTACTGCCATTAAAGCAATATAGCTGCCGCATAGTAGTCGAGCCATTGTAGCGTCTGCTGCCTGTAGCGCTTCAAAATCATGATCATTTACCACAATCATTGAAAACAACGCATAAATCAATGAAGAAACATCACTGTAACTTTCAACTGGATTTCTCGAAGCCTCCCCAAATGTAATCCAAAATGCGCATGCGTAAGGAACGGTAATTAGCGTAGTCAAAATTGCCCAGTTTATAATATCATTTATGATATGCGCAAAGATCGCTACAAATGGTCCAGCTCCTTCAAATGGTCTTGCATATTGCATTATTCTGACCCACAACACCAGGAGTAACATTATGATGATACGTGCATGGACCACTTGTGATGTAGTGCTGTTGATATTGAAGAAAACCACATGACTCGCAATGGTTCCGAGAATTAGGATCAAGGAAAACCAGTCGAAATAGATCCAAGAATCACCGGATGATATCAATGGAGTGTCCCTGATGGATTTTATCTCAGATTTCAAGTACATTCCTTCTTGTGGCCAACGTGGGTGACAGAATTGTAAATCTTCTTCAAGTTCAGAAGCTCTCCAGCAAAT